GCGCAGGACGAGCTGGAGTACATCGCCACCGACCCCGATAAGGAGCACTCGTTCTTCGTGGACGAGTTCGACAACCTCTACAAGTTCGTTCCCAAAATCATCCACAACATCTGCCAGGAGTTCAACTCGCAGCCGAGGAACTGAGGAGGGAGGAGACGAAGAGAGGAGGGAGGAGGAGGAGGGAGGAGACAAGGAGGGAGGAGGGAGGAGACAAGATTGTTAATTTTCTCCCTCTGACACACAGATAGCGGCGCTGGATTGGCTGCAGCGCCTCGTATTTGAAAGGGGAGGGGCTTGAGTTTGGTGAGGATTGTGGTGCTGCTGGTAGAGGGTCCTAAAGAGAGCAGAGGATCCCTAAATTTTGAATAATAATAATGAACACTTTATAAAGGGTTAACACGCTGAGGCTCTAATTCATGTTTATTCAGATAATAATAAATCTCTCTGAAGCCAACGACAAACCAAAATCTGGGTTGCCAGGTTGTGAAAAATCCCCCTAATTATACCCCTCCCCTGTCATTAGGGCATCGTTTCCTCCACATCTCTGCTTATTTTTCTCAGTATCTTGAAAAAGGTCGATTCTCCCGTGATAACGACTTCATGTCAGCTGACTTCTTAGGAGCTCGAGAAATGAACGAGAGAAACAGCGTCCACTTTGGGCTTACGTACATTATTAATAATTTTTTATTAGATTTAAAGGTTTTTACAAGAAAATCGTGCAAACATTTCACACATTTAAAAAAATTTTTTTTATCCTTTTTCCATCCTGAAAACAAGATGCTGAACATCTGAATCTAGAGCTGCTTTCACATCTAACACTCCTGAAAATGTTCCTGATCTGATCGTTCACACATGCACCACAGGGGCAGGGTCTGACAGGAGGGGGGGCGGGGGTCTCCTGAAGTAAGACTACAACAGAGTCCTCTATACGACGCCATAATGAGAATATGTGTGTTTGTATCAACGCTACGTGTAGTTGAACAGAATCTCAAAGTGAAGTAAAGAGAGGAGAAGAACATCCTGGAGAACAGGAAACATGCAGCAGCAGGTTGATTAGAGTACAGAGATGGTAGAGGTGGCGTGCAGACAGTCTATGGTCGTGCAGCCATCACAGGGAGTAAAGGTCACCACCCCCTCCCACTGGCCCCTCCCACTGGCCCCTCCCACTGGCTCCAGGTGAATTCTCCTGATTATATCCTGCTGTGTTCTCACATCAGCTCACTCTGACTTTCTGCAGAATAAATACGAGGAGGCTGGAGGAGAAACATTCAGATGTTTGAGTGATCACATGAAGCTCAGAGTGAAGAGAGAAACATTCAGGTGTTTGAGTGATCACATGACGCTCAGAGTTAAAACATCAGGAGATTTTCAGGAGTTTAGTTCATGTGTGAAAGCAGCTGTCTACATTCAGATGTCGTGCATTAATCTGTAACCACAAGAAATAAATTCTGCAGCAGACGGAGATAATATTTTACCATCCTAACGTTCTTAAACTCGCTTCATGCAGCGTCAGAAACAATAAAGAGGCTCTTTAAAGTGATGAACAAACATGAAGCTACTTCTCGCTGCTCGCAGACAATCGTAGATTTAAAGCATGCCTAGCACTTCTTCTTCTTCTTCTTCTGGCTGACCATCCTTCAGAAACAGAATCATTATAATAACGGTGCATTGTGAAGATTCTCTGTACAAAAGATGTTCGCTCTTAAAGTCGGTGCTCTTGGATCTTTTCTAAGTAGGAGAGGTTTATCGTTAAAGTTCCTCTGAAAGACGTTAGCGCTGACGTTGCAGTCGGTGCGAGCGGCAGTTAAAATGTGCAACCAGGCCGGCGTGAGACGCGACAAAGACAAGAGACCAGAGGAGTAAGAAAGGAGACTCTCTCGTCTCCCGGTGTGAAAAAAGGCTCCTCAGAATGACGGAGATTTCGTCTCCTCGGCGTTGCTGTCACCGCCGTGTTGCTCCAACATGGAAACATTTCTGTCTTTATTTTTTAAAAGTATTTATGATTGTCTCCCTATCGTGTCCAGTTTGTACATATGCATATTAAAAAAAAGCTTTTGCTAATAATGTTCAGATATTTGATCAATATTTTTTTTTTGCAATTTTTAATAAAATAAAGAAAATGAAGAGAAATGAAAGAGGCTCCTGAATGTTTTCCAGTCAGTTATTCCTTTCTCATTCATGAATTATGAACACACACATAAACAATCTTTAAAAGTCCACTAATTCAAATGTGTAACAAGCAGTAACCTCTCGAGTTGAAAATGAAGCAGATCCTGAAGTGTAAAATCCTGCAGTTCCTGGAGTGTCCACTAGAGGCTGGCTGCAGAAGCACAGGAAGTCACATACACACCCATTCTAAAAAGCCTGTTTTTACAGCAGAGATGAACATGTTTACAGCCTGGTTCAAAAAAACAAATAGGTGTGATTAGCTCATGTCTGGATGGACACACACTGTACGGGGGGTGAATGTTTTGATGACTCATCAGTTTTGATTTGATGAAGGATAAGAGTTATTCACAATAAGGTGTGTAGCTGACCTGATTGACAGGTGGGCGCGGTGTAACGGTTTGTCAGGAGGTTTAAAACCCGCCTCAGCTCCAGCTCTCAGCCTGTCGTTAGGTTGACTGAAAGTTAGACTGAGACAGCATTTCCAGCATGGAGACCGCCATCGATGGGACTCCAGCGCCCCCTGCAGGAACAGACGGGGGACGCCACTAAGGCCTCAAACATTCATATTTATGGTTCATGATGTGTACTCTGCTTCTGTATGAAACATATGAACTGCCATTAATCTACTTTCAAGTCTCATGTTTTAACTTCTGTGCAAAGGTTTTTTCTTTTTTTCTTTTATTGTGATGAGGTGAACAAGTACAAAACAAAAATGTGCACATAGACATGACAATTAAAGCAACGGCAAATAAACAAAAACAGGCAAAACAGAAATAAACAAAACAAACTCAAAATACACAAAACATTAGCAAAGACAAATACAATTGAAGTAGAATAATAAAAGTCAAGTAGTAAGTTGAAGTAGTGTATAAGAAACGTGTGAATGTGTGTGTGGCAGTATAATACATTAAAGTGAAAGGCTGAGTGGGAAGTAGCAAGAAAAATAAACAGAAACCAAATTGAAAATAATTGAGAGGAAAAGAAAAAAGAGGGAAAAAAAAGAAAAAGATATGTATGTGTCAACATTAAAGGAAAGAAGAAAATTTTACATATATTTATATATATAGAAATAATAAAATTAAATGTTTGGTGTTAATGTGGCCATCATAAAAAGATGGAGGAAAAAGAAGAAGAGAGAAAAAATAAGAATAATAATTAATAATAAGATTAATTATAATAAGAACAATGTGCGCATATATAGACATACATACAAACATGCACATAAATCTGGTTTATGGTATTGTTCCGAAGAGCCGAGAAGAGGGGGTCACAAGGACCTCGGGGAGTTAGGCAACTTCTGTGCAAAGGTGTTACAGAACTGATTCTGTTCCCGCCCTCAGAGAAACATACCTGTGATATCTTCAGATATTAACAGGACGCAGACACTTCATGTTCAGTGGAGCTGAGGACTTTACTGCAGGTAACAAATGTCTGCACATTACTACCAGGCTCACCTGGGGGTCATCAGGAGCACTCACACTCAGGTTAACTACACTACAGGCACAGCACACCAGGGCCCTCTGGTGGCACTGGGATGCAATTACATCCAACAGTCACTTCTTCTACATTAACCCTGTTAACAGTTAATGTGAATCTGTATCATTCCAAACCTCATCTGTGAATTGTTTTTCGAAGTTATTTTAAAGTGAAAATTAATCCAGCATCAGTTTTCTGTGAAGTCAGGGTTACCAAACAAACATGCAGCACTCATAACTGAAGTGACAAACCTTTAACACATCCAAAATACCAACAAATATATCAAGTAATAAATGATTGTGCAACGTTAAAGCGCAACCTGCATGTGTACACTGTGTAGATGTGTACACTGTGTAGATGTGTTCTCTAAACACGACTGAATCAAAGTCGGGCTGAAGAGACTAAAAATATTTTGTGCAGACATTTCCATCCATCTCTGACGTCGTTCATTGCAAAGTGAGGCTGCACCGGGAGTCCCTCTACATGTGCTGACCTCCTCAGGTGCATCCAATCTCTTCACGTTGATACAACAATCAGCAGGTGAAGAGGCGGCTGCACAGGTGAGCATGTTTTCAAATATTTAGTAGGCTGTGTGACTAGGTTCTTGGATCGGGCCTGGACGACTTCACTGTCCGTCTACGCCCATTATCACTAATAGAGCACTTTCTTCCATTTTTTTTAATCAACCAATCACAGCTTCTGAAAAAAATGTGTCATACCTCGCAACGAGGTCGACCACGCCTCCTCATTAAGATAAACATTTCTGTCTCCTCGCTCCGAGTCGCTCTGAGAAAGTTGTGATACAATACTTGATTGACGTGATTCTCTGATCTCAGAGTGGTGCCCCGAATTAATTAAACTTATTTAAAAAATATCTTTAATTTATATTAATAATTAAGGATAATTATTAATATTATAAACAAATGTGACTATTTAAAACTCCAACACAGCCCAGATAAAGGTGGAAAAACAGAGAGCTTGCAGCATCAGTCTTTTAAACACAGTAGGTGATCTAAAGCCCTGCTGTGCCTGACCAATCAGAGACGTTAAGCTTTGCAGGTGCTGCAGGACCTAACACCCCCCCCCCCCCCCCATAACGTTCTGGGAATTTTGGCAAGTACCATCCCTTAGCAGGGTCACTTTTAGATCTTTTACCCCAGAGGTATATTTAGACCCTAGTTCCTGCGGTGGAAATGCACATAGCTCCTCCAAAGGTTCCTAGTTCCCAATGTTCCAATGTTCCCAATGTTCCCAGTGTGGGATCAATAAAGGTTTCTTATCTTATCAATCATTGATCTTTCAAACGTTATGCTAACAGATTTCACGTCCATGAAATGATCGACACCAGAGCCCAGTTGTGGTTTTACAGCAGGTTTTTATTTGAACATACTTTCATATACAAACCAGTGACTGAGAAAATGGCTCATTGAAGCTGCACTCGTCTCGTACAACATCTCGATTGATTCTTTTTTTTTTCGAATCCCAGGATTGTTTTTTTCCTCCTCACAGTTTACAGCAAAGCGCCGGAATCTTTCGGACATCGCTCCTCCGTCAGCGTCGGACGGTGGACCCAACATGGTTTCAAACAGTCCTGCACTAACGTCCGGCTAACCACTTGGACTACTGTAAATATCGGGACGTGATGCGGCACGTCGTAGTCGAGCGTGTCCACACGGTCGGTCGGGGAATCTACGTACAGTACAAGTCGTTTAAGTCAAACGGGAGCAAAGCGGCCAAATCTGTTCCTAACACATCGAGAACCAAATGTGATTGTAGTTAAATAACCAAGATGGTTTACTTTGAATCGTACAATTACCTCTAATGAACAGACATTAAATATTCAGCGGTCCGTCTCCGTCTCACGGCTTCGCCGCCGTGAAATGCACGGAAATCGCTTCCCCAGCCGCATCTATCGAAGAGGAGCACTCAAACTCACGCTGCACAGTAAATCTTAAGACTGAATATAGATTTTGTTTATTATAAGCATTTGTAATTTTACATCCGATGTTTAAAAATTAACAACATTGTGATCATTGGCTCCGTTTCTCCCTCGCCATCGCCATCGCCATCCCCGTCGCCGTCCCCTCGCCCCCCAAAAACAAAGCTTGTTAAAATAACATTTTTTCCGAGACCTTTTTAAAGCAAAGGCACATTTTGACAAAACGTTTCAAAAAGGAAAACAAAGGCAGGCCAGCGAGTGGAGTCTGAACAGGAAGCAGAGAAGAAGAATAAAAAATAAGAAGAAGAAGAAGGAGGCGAGGGGGGAGGGGCTTCCACGACAGGGGTGGGAGGGGGGGTGAGGGAGGGGCTTCCACGACAGCTCCAGAGAGCCTTCACTACCCGACATCTCTGGAACAACACGACATGAAACCTGACTGGGAGTGGGAGGACTGGGAGTGGGAGGACTGGGAGTGGGAGGACTGGGAGTGGGAGGACTGGGAGTGGGAGGACTGGGAGTGGGAGGACTGGGAGTGGGAGACCCGGTCTCAGTTAGTCTAAGAGGATCCAGGATGAGCGTGAAGTCACGGGGGCCAGAAGAGTCTCTGCTCTCTTTAACACTTGTCCTGAGCCTCCTCGCTGCAGAGGAGGTGAGGTTTGAGTCTGGGGGTCATGACGGGGGCACTCTGTGTGTGTGTGTGTGTGTGTGTGTGTGTGTGTGTGTGTGTGTGTGTGTGTGTGTGTGTGTGTGTGTGTGTGTGTGTGTGTGTGTGTGTGTGTGTGTGTGTGTGTGTGGTCACACCCAGGCCTGCCTGGATGGTCGATGAGGGACTCGAGCAGTTCTCCTCCTCCTCCCCGGTCTAGCCCCCGTTTGAGGCTACACGGTCTGACAGTCCGACATGAAACCAGAGGGCTGTGAGGGGGGGCGGGGCTGGACCAGCGCCTGAGGGTCCCTCCCCTCCTGTGTCTCTATTGGTCCCTGATCACTGGAGGCGGGGTCAGCGGGCGGAGCTGCAGTGAGAGCTCCGCGTCATACAAACACTTTGGCGAGAGCGTCCGCCCCGGCGCTGGCGATGTAGCACTTGGACGGGTGAAACGCCACGTCGTGGATCGACTCCTCGGACTTCTTCCTGTGAGCCGTGAACTCCTGGATGCAGGTTTTACTCTCCAGGTTCCACAGACGGATGGAGCAGTCGTGACCTGCGGAGGAGACGACGACGACGAGACGGTTAAAAAGCAGAACGAGGAAACGATGCTGAAAATAAAGGAAGCTCAGTGCCGACCACAAAGGATACTTCAAAGATGGCCGACAAATACGACCTTTTCTCCTCCGGCTAGTGATGGATCCACGCCGTCCTTCACGGCCCAACATATACATATATATGAATCTGTAAACACAGGTTGGTGGCGAGGAGATACTTACTGCCCGACATGAGATAGAGTCCGTTTGGATCCACGGCTAAACTGGTGACGGCGTCCAGGTGGGCGACCATGGAGTGGATCATCTTCCCGCTGTTGTTGTCGAAGAACTTGATGTGTCGGTCCTCCTGAGCCGTGATGGTGATCGGAGAGTCGGGTGGCTGAGGACCTTGTTGATCTGACACGGAGAGCCTGCAGAGGAACAAGATGACATCACAGCTGAGCAGGTGAGCGGACAGGTGAACTTAACGAGATGTGAGCGTGTGTGAGCAGATTCAATCGTTAAAAGAAGTTCGATCATAAAGCACGGTTGACCTTTTTTCCGCCGCCATATTGCTGTATTTCAAACTCTGAAAACCTCTTTGTCTGTTTATCCTCATTCACCTCATTGAATAGTGTATGTAACCCTGATTATGTCCAATGGGTGGCGCTGCTGTACATCATTATCATTGTCTTAAAACTGTGGAAAATACCGGGAGTGACTCTGCGCTGCACAGCTCCTCAGAAATCTCACAGAACAAGAGCAAACGTCCAAAAAAATCATTTATAGACCCTCTAACAATCATATTTTAGTTGAAGGAAATAAATTTGACAATAAAATATATATCTATGATTCCTCAGAAAACATGGTCGACCGCTCGGTTGAGTCTACGCGGCCTGGCTCAAGTCACTCATTTCTTATTTTGTTCACCTTTTCTAACCATTGCTACTCATTCAATCTGTTAAAGAAGTTCTTCTCTCTGTGATGTTTATATATGAAAAAAGCATTTTGTTGCAGAAATGAAAGAAATCCATTCATATCCAAAGTAACTCTAAACAGTCAACCAGCTGGTTGACCTGCAGATCTGCTTTCTGATTGGGTAATCTGAAAAATAGAACCTGAAATGTTGCTTAATGAAGAGGCAGGAACACAATTTTACCAACAAATCATTTTTTGCAAATGGCTTTCTTCGAGTGGAAGTCAAAGGGTTAATAAATATAAACAAACCTAATATCATGAGCTAGTAACACCCTCGCTAACGTCCTCGCCCAGGTACAGCGTGATTCTATGGGAAACCCTGTACCTGCTAATAAACCGAGTCAGGTATGGCTGCTTCCTGGCGCTCTCTCGTCTGTGTTCTTGGCAACAGCAAGTGCGTTGGGTCAAGAAGCAGTTTACGAACTCGCGCATTAATTAATATTTACAGTCTATGATTAATTCAAACATTAGCACCGCGCCAAAAGAAGACAAGAGTGTACGGTGAAGAAGGTGGAGTCACGCGCCCGAGGTTTACAAGAAGCCCAAATGAATGAATGAAAAGACGTTCAAATGAGTCACAGAGAGAGTTAGAGCCGTTTGTTTCAACAGCTGAACAGAACCTGCTGACTGAGCTGTGTGTTTATATACAACTCAAAACACACATAAACATATAGAATCACAAAATTGCTTATTTTGTATTTCGTCTTGAATGTATAAGCACCTGGTATGTTTATCTCAGGTACACTACAGATACTTTTATTTCCGGAGCTTTATGTTGAAAATTAGAAGCTCAGGGGGCTCGGCTTCAGGCATCCAGGTGAGAGCACACAGAGGAGAGAGCGCCAGGCTGCAGACATACAGTCTTGAATAAACCGGGTTCTACCAACAGCGGCCACTAGATGTCACTGAAGAGCTTCAGCCTCAACGTTCCCTTTGAGGTAAAGTCACTGATGAGCTGTGAGAACTTACCCGGCTCCAGATTGGACTCCAGGCTGAGGACGAGCTGACGGGTCTCCATGTTGAAGAGTCCGATCTGTCCGTTTGTAAAGGAGGTCACCAGGTGGGCGGGGTCACTGCACACCAGGTCCACTGAGGAGGGGACTCCCAGGTCTTAAACACAGAAGAAGAGAGGCATGTTAACTTTTTCCATGTTAGTATGAAGTCTAAAGTCTCGACTCAGGAAGCTGGAGGTGTGTACTTTTGTCCTCGTTGAACACGGCGAGGGCGGGGGAGGTGGTGTTGGCGTCCCACAGCCTCACGGTCCCGTCCGCAGAGCAGGAGAGGAGGCGCTGGTGAGCGCTGCTGTACACTAAACCCCAGACTGAGTCGGTGTGTCCGCACAACTCTCCACGCAGCATCGACGCGTCTGAAAAACACGATGACCTCGGTCAGGTGGAGTTAAAAAAACAACAACGTGTCAGACTTTAAAAGAACCACGAGGCTGCGTTACCGTAGGAGTCGTACGGGTCGATGTTGGGGTTGGGGGTGTTCCAGCACTGAATGGTCCCATCGACCCCTCCGCTGAAACACTGCTCCCCTGAGGTGCTCATCACCACGCTCAGTACCGCCCCCCTGTGGTGCAAACCATGATGAATAATCAAATCTTCCAGCCAATCAGACGCACACATTAACATTTGTGATTGATGTCGTTACCTGTGAGCCCTGAAGGTGTAGATGGGTTCTACGTCTAAAGATGTACTCCTGTGGACGAGAAAGAAAACAACTTCATTCTACAATTCACTTAGCAGACTCTTTTATCCAAAGCGACGTACATCAGAGAGTAAGAACAACACAAGCAAGGATCTAGAAAAAAGGGAACGATGTCAGTAAGAGCAAACGATCAGCTTTGAGTCTGATTGGACACACAGGTGCTGACAGGAAGTGACCAGAGGCAAAGCACAACATTGAGGGCAGTTCTTGAGAGCTCTAATCAGTATAGAAACCATCTTATAAGTCGTCGTTATCAAACAAAAACCATCGTCATTACCATCATCATCATCAATAATATGGAGACCATCATCATTAAGTTAGTAGGTATTCATGAAAGAGCTGGGTCTTTAGCTTTTTCTTAAAGGTGCAGAGGGACTCTGCAGATCACATGGAGTTTGGAAGTTTAATGTCATCGTCTGTTTGGCGTTCAGGTTAGTCTGAAGGAGTCGTGCAGTAGTGTCACATGTTCAGATCTGTTTCTCTCCTTTGTGTAAAACTCTGTGTTGTTTTTTAGAGGTCGTTTTCACACCTGGAGATCGTTTGCTCTGGTCTAAATCACGGATCAGTTTTTATTCCATTGTTGAATAATCACCTCAAGTTCGTTCTGTGTTCACACGGGGATATTTACAAGAGTGACGCTCGAGGAACATGCTCTCTGATTGGTCAGAGTTTGCTGCTATCGCCGCTACATAAAACGCTCAAAGTTTGACTTGTTGCTTGTTTTTTTTTGATGATGTTAAAAAACATTCTGACATAAAATCTCCTCACACGTCTTTATTTTTTTTAAAGATTTATTTTGTGCTTTTCGTGCCTTTAATGAGAGAGAGGACAGTGGATAGAGTCTGAAACCAGAGAGAGAGAGAGGACAGTGGATAGAGTCAGAAACCAGAGAGAGAGAGGACAGTGGATAGAGTCTGAAACCAGAGAGAGAGAGGACAGTGGATAGAGTCTGAAACCAGAGAGAGAGGACAGTGGATAGAGTCAGAAACCAGAGAGAGAGAGGACAGTGGATAGAGTCTGAAACCAGAGAGAGAGAGGACAGTGGATAGAGTCAGAAACCAGAGAGAGAGGACAGTGGATAGAGTCTGAAACCAGAGAGAGAGAGGACAGTGGATAGAGTCTGAAACCAGAGAGAGAGAGAGAGGACAGTGGATAGAGTCAGAAACCAGAGAGAGAGAGAGGACAGTGGATAGAGTCTGAAACCAGAGAGAGAGAGAGAGAGGACAGTGGATAGAGTCAGAAACCAGAGAGAGAGAGGACAGTGGATAGAGTCTGAAACCAGAGAGAGAGAGAGGACAGTGGATAGAGTCTGAAACCAGAGAGAGAGAGGACAGTGGATAGAGTCTGAACCAGAGAGAGAGAGAGGACAGTGGATAGAGTCTGAAACCAGAGAGAGAGAGAGGACAGTGGATAGAGTCTGAAACCAGAGAGAGAGAGGACAGTGGATAGAGTCAGAAACCAGGGAGAGAGAGGACAGTGGATAGAGTCAGAAACCAGAGAGAGAGAGGACAGTGGATAGAGTCAGAAACCAGAGAGAGAGAGGACAGTGGATAGAGTCAGAAACCAGAGAGAGAGAGAGAGTGGGGAATGTGGAGAGGAGCCATGGGTGGAGGTGAACCCGGGCCTACCGCTCGAGACGAGAGTCTCAACACATGGAACGCGCCCCCTAACCACTGCGCCACCAGTCCGCCCCCTCCTCACACGTCTTTAATGTCACAACGTCTTTAAACATTTTAAACGGTCTGAGGTCACAAACAAATGGCCACCGTCACTGTCAGTTTCTCTCTCTCTCTCTTACGGGTCGAAGCTGCTTACTTTTTGGCGGGAGCGGTCTTCTGCAGGTTCCACATCTTCAGCGTGTGGTCCTCCGAGGCTGTGACGAGTACGGGCTCCACGGGGTGAAAGGTCAGCGCTCGGATCCCGTCAAAGTGGCTCCGCAGGGTGAACTTGGGGTTCCACGTTTTTCTCATGGCGTCCTTGTTGTTCCCGATCTGAGGAGAGACGCACACTTTAATCTTTGGACTCGAGACGAGAAGGTGAACAGAAATATTTCCCGTCAGAACGCCCCCCCCCCCCCGCCCTCAGCTCCTGTTCTACTCACGTCGTACGCCAGGCTGTCGGCCTCGTTGGCCACGGTGAGCCCGGCGAGCTCGCCCAGCCCCAGCTCGCTCTCCATGGCCTCGTCTGCGCCCATGATGAACGACTTCCCCGAGGTGGGCGGGAAGGTCAGCGCCTCGACTAAGAACAGAAATCATGAATTTAAAGACACGCCCCTCTGGATAAAGTCAGTGTAACTCTTTCATGCTTCGAGCTCGTGCTGCACCTTCGTCCGTTCTGTTGGGTTCGTGCTCGTTGAAGCGGGCGGCGTTCGGCCTGGATTGTGGCGTTGACGGAGGCTGCATGTGGGACAGATCCTCGCCGTCTCTCAGGTTAGCCAGCATGTCCTGCAGCTTGGACCGGTTTGGCCCTGTTTAACGAATCGGGTCAAACATAACAGAGCACACAGACATGAGGAGGCGGAAAAATCAAAACGAAGAATATTTAACGTAAAGAAAAAACGAGCCGAGGAAGAGAACTCAGGATGAAGATGGAGGGAAAGCAGCACTGAAAGAAGAAAATGAATGAAGAGAAGTCAGCAGCAGAGTCGATGTTAAGACGAACTGTCGGAGTAACAGATTCAACGCTCTTATTGTGACAGGACACACTCAACGCTCTTATTGTGACAGGACACACTCAACGCTCTTATTGTGACAGGACACACTCAACGCTCTTATTGTGACAGGACACACTCAACACTCTTATTGTGACAGGACACACTCAACGCTCTTATTGTGACAGGACACACTCAACGCTCTTATTGTGACAGGACACACTCAACGCTCTTATTGTGACAGGAAGTCCTCGAGAACGAGCTGACGCACTCATCAAGGCTCAGTAACGTTGTCAAAGTTGCAGGAAACCAAAGAGAGACAAAAACGTCCCGACATCTCTCTTCATGATCTCCTCCACACGCCCGCTGAGCGATAACGTACCAACGCAGTGCAAAGAACAGAAATAGACCGTGTGAAGATGAAGCGAGCTGTGGGACTCATGATTCAATTACAGTTTGATAAAACGACCGTCGCACCGCAGAGCGTGGGACTCCTGAGTGTGAAATCTAAGAGCCACTGAACGAGGCTTCACATGAAGAGGACCGTTATCCTGACTGACAATTTCCACACAGCCCCGTGTGCACGCTGCGTCCTGTCAGCGCCACGGTTTGACTCCATCAGACCGAAAGCGCACGGCCCCACTGCGTCTGTTTGTGGAGCCTGAGTGCAGCCATGAGAGTGTTCACAAGATCACAGGAGAACTACAAGATCACATGAGAACTACAAGATCACATGAGAACTACAAGATCTGGGGAGAACTGCAAGATCACATGAGAACTACAAGATCACATGAGAACTACAAGATCACATGAGAACTACAAGATCACAGGAGAACTACAAGATCACATGAGAACTACAAGATCTGGGGAGAACTGCAAGATCACATGAGAACTACAAGATCACATGAGAACTACAAGATCACATGAGAACTACAAGATCACAGGAGAACTACAAGATCACATGAGAACTACAAGATCACATGAGAACTACAAGATCATGGGAGAACTACAAGATCACATGAGAAATACAAGATCACAGGAGAACTACAAGATCTGGGGAGAACTACAAGATCACAAGAGAACTACAAGATCACATGAGAACTACAAGATCATGGGAGAACTACAAGATCACATGAGAACTACAAGATCTGGGGAGAACTACAAGATCACAAGAGAACTACAAGATCACATGAGAACTACAAGATCACAAGAGAACTACAAGATCACAAGAGAACTACAAGATCACAGGAGAACTACAAGACCACATTCCTTGTCTGACTTCCTGTACGGGTTGATCTACTCTGTCCAGCTTAACATGTACTTGCAGCGAGCTCCATCAACGCGTTTGAAACACAGCAGAGCGGCGCTGCTGGCTCGCTCCGGACACAGACCTCGGCGCCGGCTGTGGAAACAGGAGCGTTGACGGAGAATGTGGTAATTGGCAGTGAGAGCGGAGCTGAGTCTCTAACAACTCTTGAATTTGGATTTAACAGCGGCTAAATGAAGAACCAACATGGCCGACACACGTGAGGAAACGGATGAAGGTGGAGGAGAACGCTGACAGGACAAAAAACAGATGAGTGGAGAGAATATAAAAGTGAAAGACAGAGACACATGCAGCAGGCTTCACAGTCTGGATGAGTAAAAATAAAACACGGCCCAGCTGTTCAAAAGTCATCTGATTGGATAAAAGCTTCGGACTGGATCACACCTGAAGAACAGGTTGTTTCAAAAGACGTTTAATTGGATTATATCAGGACTGAGAACACTTTCAATCACACTGAATTACAAATATCAGAATGGTCAAACAAAACAACATTTCTCTAATCATAGCTCTGAGTCACATGACCGGGGTGGAGGTCAAAAAGAGTTTAGGAGCACAGCGTCCACCGTGGAGCTGCAGCACGGGCACAGCGACCACGACCTCAGAGAGTTTTGATCTCTTATGCAGCACGCCATGCCAAAGTCCTGACAGCTGAATCAAGATTCTCCGTTTTAGTCTGGAGTCTGTAAATCTAGACTTTTGAACAACAGGGCAGAGGATGTTTACAAGAGACAGAGGAGACATGAAGAGGACAGAGGAGACATGAAGAGGACAGAGGAGACATGAAGAGGACAGAGGAGACATGAAGAGGACAGAGCAACAGAAGGAATAATAAGGAGGTGAGAGAGGACAGATGTTTTCATTTTGTTGTTGTTTTGTCTCAACAGAGAGGAGGAGGAGGAGGAGGAGGAGGAGGAGGAGGAGGAGGAGGCAGCAGCGCTTGGCAGGACTTACTCTTCACCCCCTTTTTCCCTTTGCGCTCCTTTTTGTACTGCTCCTTCAGTTTGGTAATCAGGCCCGGGTCCACGTCCCAGGCCTCAGAAATGGGACCTTGCTCGTCCTTGTCTACACAGGGGGGAACAAAACCAAAACCGAGAGGCTGCTGAGGAGGCCTGGCGGGGTCTCTCAGGCCTCCACGAGAGCAGGACAGTCTCTCTGGGGGCGTGAGCAGCTTTCAGAGCCGGCTTGTTTTAACCTTTGTTTTCTACGGGGAGAGGTCGTGAAGCTGACGCCATGTGGGGAGTTCTTTCATTTGAACATTTGGATTCTAAGCGGAGGCGAGTCGCCGCCTCTAAATGTTTGTGATGATCATGTTGTTGTGCTCAGGACTCAAAGTTCAAATACAAAGAAAAACCTCAGCATGACGTCGAGCCTGGTATTCAGTCAGACTCCGGGGTGGGGGGGGTGGGGGGGGGGGGGGGGAACGGACGACAGGTGTGGGAGACACATTGTGGTTACACGCTGGCTATGGGAACACACACACATGGGTTAAACAGAGACACTTCAAACATCATGATTTATGACAACAGCATGAAATATGGATGACGAGCACTCAGTGAAAATCACCAAAAACTACAGAAGAATTCAATTCAAAAAACTTTATTTGTCCCCAATTCAAAAAAACAAGAAGAACTCGAAGAGAAGATTATCTGATTCTGAGCTGTTGAAGAAAGAAACATCCCATCATGCTCGGGGGGGGGAGAGAGCATGCTCTCTGATTGGTCGGAAGTAAACACAGACTAGCTGCCTCCTGATTGGCTGTGGCTGTTCCAAAGACTATTTATAGTTTGTAATTGGACAGACGAGTACAGTAGTGATGTCAGCTCCGCTTATCAGTTTGTATTTATCACTGTAAGCAAATGATTCAGTTTGAAAATAAGATGTTGATGTTCTGGAGTCTCTGACCACGGGTGAAGTGATCCCGCCTCCGTGCGGCCTTAGGAGATAATAAATGAGGCGAGATGGCGCGGCGCTGTGTGTGTGTGTGTGTGTGTGTGTGTGTGTGTGTGTGGAGCTCCCGCTGTGCCGTGTCTTCTGCAACGCCGTAAGAAGATGACCATAACACCAATATTACGCCGTTGCAGAATCAATAATGAACGTCTTGAGGCGTGATGACAGCGCGCTTGGTTTCAGCTTTTGATGCTTTAACAGTTTTTAACGAGATGATCTCGAAAATCAGCGACAACGATGCGAACTAACGGAAAATGTTCATGTTTTTTTCTTTTTTTTTTAAGGAAGTAGTTCTAGCCTTAGCAGAGGAACGTGCAATCGGCTCGCCACAAGGTTTTCAACC